CATTCACACCTGTTTCTGCTCACATTCACACCTGTTTCTGCTCACATTCACACCTGTTTCTTCTCACCATCCACCTCTCACCTGTTTACAATCTGCAGGTCTCTAACTCGGATTTTGTCTGAAGACTTGTTTATGGTCTGAAAACAGAAAAAGGTTTTGTGAGTTTCAACCTCATCTTAGATGTATTCAACTAAAATGTTGCATGAAGTTTGGGGTTTCAGCCAATAAACTCGTCAGATACACAAATATTAAACGGAACAAAAGCAGTCTGGTTCAGGAACACAGCAGGGTCCTCCTCTGCTTTAGGTCTTCAATGATGAATTTTTTAGAACACTGTGACTTTTCCTGTCAGTTACACTGACACTACTTTTGTCAATAATATTTACACTTTACCCTTTAATCTGGAAATGTACTCTTTCAGAGTCAGTCAGAGTCAGAGTTTCTTTATTGTCATTCGCACCTCATGTGGTACATGTGGTGGAGCGAAATTATGTACACAGGGTCCCAGTTACATCCAACAATAAAATGTATAAGAAAAACAGTAATAACATCTAAGATATGAACTAAGAAAAACATCAACTAAATATACACTAAGCACTCATAACATAAAAGATTGAACATCAGCACAAACATGAACATGAGTCTGTGAGTAGATGTGCACGCATGAACACATCAACATTGAAACAGATCAGCAGCAACATGATTTCATTTTTAAATAAAAAAAACACTAATACAGCGTCGTAGTTGGCACCTCCTGCAGCTGCTTCATCTCCACTTCGCTGAACCTGGATCTGTGAGGATTCAGCAGCTCCATGGCAAAAGGACGACCTGCCGAAGAAAAAACAAAAGGTCATAATAAACATTTCAGTATTAATGTTTCAAAGTTCAAAAGGGACATTAAAAACTTATTTACTACGTCTAAAACATTTTATCGTCCTGAAATCCTGTGAACTAATGAATCAGTCTGTTTCAGGTGAAGCTGTTTTTGTTACAGCTGTTACAGATGAGCCTCATCAGTCTTCAGCAGCCCACAAAGCACAAACCAGTCATCCCATCAACATGCAGAACCTTTAGGAGTCTCACCGTTTCCAAGAGTTCGAACATCCACGTCTTCTCTACCTGATGAAGAGAAATTGAATCCTGCCAACAAAAGAAAAACATTATCGTTACACATGTACAAGAGTTTTCTCCTGCACTGCTCAGGGTTTAACTGGTTAAATTATAAACTGTGAGGCCTGGGTTCACTGAGACTGTGCACGGCCTTGCACCCTGTTTGCTCCTCTGCACGGGGTTCACGAAGCAAACAGATCTGCTGATACACGACAAATACGCCCATAAGGACCAGTTTGAATCTGTTGCATCAGATCCATAGAATCTCACAAGACCTCCTCAGATATGAACCTGGAAGTCGAAGCTGGAACAAGACAAACTTTGTTGTTGGCTCCACTGAAAGTTTGAAGTTCTGCCCTCTCTGCAAAAATGAACAGATCTTTGCATTAGTAGAATAAAAAACACACCAGACCATTTTCAGCTGCTGACTGTTGTTGGGACTGCCTGAAGGCGGCCACCCACCTATTATTATCCACCTGACAAGGGTCTTGCTCTTCTGTCAACTTTGATGTGGCCTGAACCGCTAATGCTAATGCTAATTTGCAATGTTGTCATTTGCAAAGACGTTTTTCTCATTGAAAAACACGGACAGAACTCTTCACAGCTTCGGACTGCCACAGTGAGGTCACATGACCTAGAGGGGCGAGGTCTCTGAACAAAACACCGATTAGCTTTTGGAGCCATTTTGATTCAAGATGGCTGCCACGGCCACCTCAGAAAACTCAAAAGTGACTATGACTCAGTCATTCTTTGAGATATTGAGCAGACGTTTGGTGTGGTGGTACCGGACAGTGATGCACAACACATTCTGAACTCAATCTAAAGATGCAAGATGGCTGCCAAAGATCGTTTCAAATGGCTATAAGTCAGCTGTTTTTATTTAGCTGACATTTGGTGTACTGGTGGCCAACAACAGTCCCCAATAGTCTCTGATTGCAAATCAAAAGTCCAAGATGGCCACCTGAGCTAAAAAGGAAAAATACTATAAATCAGCCTTTTTTAGAGCTGACATTTGGTGTTGGCAGCTGAGAGCAGTGCCCATTAAATACTGATTTAAAAAAATTATAATAATCCAAGATGGCCACCAGTGCTACATTTAAGTCTTTAACTCAATTATTTTCAAACATAATGAGCTGCAATTAGTCGAGGTTATAGCTGAGCATGTTCCCCATCACATACTGAATCAAATCAAAAATCCAAGATGGCCACCTGAGCTAAAAATAAAAATGTACTATAACCCTTTGATTTTTTTGTCATATTGAGCCAATGAACTTTGTTGTGATGGTAGCTGAGGGTGAACCCCCACATGGAGTACTGACATGTACAGATTTAAATGGCTGCACGTGGCAGGAACTCCAGGAACTTTACTTGTTCCAATACGTTTAGCTGCATTTAGTCCTTTCATGCTCTGGAGAAATGTGACACCATGGCTGTGCGTGGTGGAGTAGGCGGGACTTAAACCTCCACATCTCCAGTGCACGGACTCTGGTTCCAAAAATACAAGACGAAAGGAGCAAGGACATGTGGTTTATCATTTTACTATGTTCATGGTGAAGTCGCAGTTGATCATCACGTCCATATTTAAACGTGAGTTTCTACCACAAATACGAGAGGCAGGAAGTGACGAGAAGAACTGCAGGTCTTCAGTTCAGACTCTTCATAAACCTGCATGAACGACATCATGGACGAGTCCTGATCAGAGGGGTTTTCTAAATCATTGAATGGTACGCAGTTTGTGCATCCTGCACCCACACAGTGCAACCAGCCGACAGTCAGACGCTCCGTGCTCTCTGACATCAACTTCTAAACATATTAAAACACTGAACTTAACAAGACCAAAGACTGGGGGAAGACGTACATTTGTCCAGAGCATCGCTGACGACTTCGTTCATTAGAAGTGACTTTGGGCGTGTTTTGTTCTCAAGTCTCAGGTTGAGGTTTTTTGGTTGTTTTGAGCGTGAAGTTGCTCGTTTGGACTCGACTTTGTTTCTCAGTGAAACTAGTTGATGATCTCCCACAGTAAGTGTCTAAAGTAACATCTGCTGCCGCTGCACAAGACCTGCTGCTGCCAAACAAACGGACGTCACATAAAGTTGATTTGTAAGAAGTGCTCATGATGTGAGCCGTTTACTGTTACTTTGCCCACAGTTATTTTCTCTGCACGTTTAGACACGCTGTGCACATGTGACGTGCCACCTTCTCTCTGCCTCCGTTTCCACTAACGGCACGGCTGAAGACGTGCACCAGCTGCCATGACGGCACAAAGAGGAGGTGCGGGTGGAGATGGCAGTACATAATGCCCACCGCCTCCAGAGCAGTGTTGTGAGCAAATAAACACAAGAAGCCGTGACTCTAAAATACCGTATGTTTTGCTGTATAAGTCCCATTTTCCCATAATTTACAAGCCGTGTGACTTACAGGCCAAACGACACGTTTATGGATTTTTTCCACATTTATAAAACAGTTTTTGTGTGAGATCTGATCGTTGGACTGAAAACATTCAACACTGCCATTTTCAGCCGCTAGATGGCACCACAGTGGTATGGCATGTCGTTGAGTCATGTAATAGGTAAAACGTGTCGATTAATGACACAATCTGCTTGCCATAGCCTGCCACCTTCGTCCAGCTCAACGTCAAACCAGCTTCATTTCTCTGCGCCGCCCCGGAGACAAGCAGCTCATTTGACCATTAAGTGACTTCATTAAGTGAAAGTTCAACTGAGACATCTTTGTTGTAACGTCGAGCAAACAAATTATTGTTTTAGGTGTTTATCTTGTTAAACTCTTGCTAAAGTCCTCCCGTGCACGCTCTTACGGGCACCATTTGGCAGCCAACAGATTCTTGGCACAACACGGGCCACATGTCCAGGTTGTCGGCAGCGACGCACAATACATGCAGCGTATTTGTGTTTCCACTTCATAGACCGATATGGACTGATGCGACTCACAGGGTGGAGCGACGTGCACGGTGGTGGTCTCTGCACCAAACACTCACTGGTCACAAACGTAAATGAGTGGACGAGCAACAGGAACTGGTTCCTTCCCAGTTTGAGTGGTGTAACAGCCGCAGCTCAGAGACACTGGTCTAGCTGCTCCGGTGGGCCCGGTCTCTGAAAGGCCCCGCGCCGCTCGTCATTGTGTGACAACACATTTCAACTGAACACACCGTGCAGGTCCAGTCCAGACCGTGCAGGTCCAGTCCAGACCGTGCAGGTCCAGTCCAGACCGTGCAGGTCCAGTCCAGACCGTGCAGGTCCGGTCCAGACCCTGCAGGTCCGGTCCAGACCGACTTGTTTGGTCTAGATCCAGACCAGGTCCAGACTTAAAGAAACAGATGGAAGTTCTTTATTTTCTCCACTAAACACCTGTGAAGGGGAGCGGTGGTGCAGAGGTTAGAGAAGGCGAGCCTGTGATCAGAAGGTTGCCGGTTTAACTCCCGTACACACATCAAAATGTGGGTGGGAAAGGTGAAGCACCCACACCTGCCTCCACCCTCATTCGTCCCACTCTGGGCCCTTGAGCAAGGCCCTGAACCTCCACCACGTGCTCCCCCGGGCGCTCTAGACGCAGCTGTGCTCCACACAGATGTTGTGGTTGATCAGGAAGAACATCTGGTGTAAAAACGACTGTTGACTCTGAGCTGGTTCTCTGTGGAGACCCTGAAGAGCCTCCTGGAAGTCAAAAAGTTGCTCCACCTGTTGATGACTCTAGGTTTGTCCACGTCTGACGAAGAGCACGTTTAAATGTGTTTAAAACCTTTGTTCTCTCGAGAACGACAGGAAGAGTTCCCCAGCTGGACGTGTTGCAGTCTCACCGTCCGCTCTGAAGACGGACAGGACGGGCGCTGCGATCAGCTCCTCCACCGACGACTCCATCCTTCTCTCTCCGTCGATCAGCCAGGGAGTCTGAGGCAGGCTGCGGCAGAACTTGTTGTACCTCCCTGAACATCCAAACGAGGGACGGTTCACGTGTCGGCCCGTGCATAAACAGATGCCAACAGATGTTCTTAACGTGTGCTGTACCTGCAACAAAAACAGAGGCGTGGAGGCACTGCACATCCTGAGGGACGCAGCTGCTGCTCGCACGAGTCGGAGGACAAGGGTAGAGTCTGGAACAGGAAGCAAAACCTAAAACTCAGCGTTTCAAACAGCGCGGTCGAGGATCGACTCCTCAGGTGTGACCTACTCCAGGAAGCTGGCGTCAGAAATCTTTTCCAGAGCTTTGACCACAGCCATGCGGGTGAACACAGACTGCAGAGAGAGGCAGAGCACGCACCACATCATGGAAACTGAAACAAAACCATCAACCACAACAAGGACCTCTCAGTGAAGCTGCTGGACTTGAGGAGCGTGAAGTCCAAACAGAACGTCCTCACCTGTTTGTTCTTGGTGGGTTTGAAGCAGTCGGGGCAGGACGAACCTCTGCAGGACGGACACAACACACTCGGGATCAGACACTTGAGCAGCTCACGTCCTGAAACCACCCCAGTCAAACTACTACAAGGAATGACGGTCACCCCGGACTGGACTCACGGCTCATTCCTAACGTTCTACCTCCAAACATAAAGGTGGACAACAACGCTGTTGCATGTGTGCCTGTTAGTCCGTTAGCAAAACACAATGCTGGGATGTAACAGAGTACAAGTACTTTGTTACTGTACTTAAGTACATTTTTCACGTATCTTTATTTAAAAAGAGACGGGTACTTTCTACTACACTACATTTTACATTAAGTATCTGTACTTTCTA